CTCAGACCATTTCTCCAATTTGTCCAGTTTGCTGGTCTCAAACTTGGAAAATGGATCTGTACACCAGAGACTGACACTGTGGCTATTAATCAATCTTACTTAGAGACCTCTCTCAAAAGTATCTGGGTTGCCAATCACACTTCCCCAGTGGGAAAAATTGTGTGATCACTTAATTAAACAACAAAGTACTAGTACCTGTGGATTAAGCACCTGTGGATAAGCTATGTGAAGTGATCAGTGCTGACATAGTTCCTAGAACAGCATTCCCTTTTGTTCTCCTCTTTTGGAAGGGTGAAAAAAGATCATTACCAATGTAGCTTGTAAATTGTGGTGGGTTTTTTTTGGTTTGGTTTTTTCATCTCCAGATAAGCTGCCTCCAGCAGTTTTCATAAACTCAAAGGAAAAAAACAAACAAACTGTTTCTGTGCTGAAATCAGCAGAGGTCAACAAGAGTGGGGTTTTTTTTTGTTTGGTTTTTCCCCTATTAACTTCTGTATTCTGTGCAACAGTATCTGAACTCCTAAGGTTGGCAAGTTTCCATCCACTCAGTTTGAACAGTTGAAAGGATTTTGCTCACAATTCTTCCTACCCAGCCTCCTGCCAAAAAAAGTGTTGGCTGTGGACTGTAAAGATGCAGGAGAATCTTCAGCTCAGAAAGACTTTATCAAAGCTAGAGGCATGTGTAAACTGTAGGTTATGGGAGAGAAACCCCAAGGCTCTAAACAGTCAGGGACACACTGCCTCACCTGGTCCCAGCCCCGATCCACTGGCAGCGTGTGCTGGGAAGAGAAAGCAGTGACAGGAAACAGGAAGAGTTAAGAACGCCAAGTAGAAAGGCAAAAGCATTGATTACTTAGAACAGCTAAATGTGGCATTACAGGGGCCTGAAATGTGACAAGAGAAGCATTCAACCTATTTCTTGTTTGACAGCTGCAAAAGCTCAAAGACAGAAAGAACAGCAGTGAAGCCATTTTTAAAAAGCAAGGGGCTAAATCTCTCCAAATGTGCATGACTGTATGGAACATGGATAGTCAAATGGACTATGCACTCAACTGGGAGCCAGGAGCTTCTGCATTCTAATCTCTGTACTGCCGGTGACAGCAAGTCATTTCACCATTCTGGAGAGTGGTGATACCACCAACCTTATAAGAACATGGCAAAAACGTTGATATCAAATACTCAAAGTGCTAAGCAGAAATGTATTACCCCAAGGGCAGCAAGTTACAGATTCATTGCTCCTCACTGAGACCTGGGCCATGCCGGGATAGAGGGCTACCCCCCAGTTTGCATACACGGGAGCAGAGAATCCTCTCAGATCTTCCAAGGTCCTCTCCCCTGATTTGTTATTACTAAAACTACATCAGGAATTTGTCTCCATTGCAACAACTGACATAGCAACACCAGAGCAAACCCCAAGGACAGACAAGAAAAGACAGAGTTTGCAGTGATACAGCTGACTCGCGTTTAGGGTCACCAGATGCTAAGTTGAAAATATCTGGACCGCTGCAGGGGGGGCGCCTTTTTAATTGTTACACTCACCCATCCGGGTCTTTGGCGGCAGGTCCTTCAGTCACTGACGGTCTTCGGCGGCATTTCAGCGGTGGGTAATAAATCTTGCCGCCAAAGACAGAAGCACCCGCCGTCGAATTGCCGCAGAAGACCCAGACGGGAGAGTGTAAAAAAAAAATATAAATAAATAAAAAAAAATCCCGAAACAAAATATCGGGACAAATGGTGTCCCGACCGTACTTCGGTCGGGACACGGGACAAACTCCTCAAAATCGGGACAGTCCCGATTTTATCGGGATGTCTGGTCACCCTACTCGCGTTTGAAGCCAGGGTAAGCATCTCCAGTGCAAATCATGGCTTTTCTAACCTACAGGAGAGCCAAATGAGCCACTGCAATTGACTGCTGGAATTGGGTCAAGTCTCAGCACAGACAGGGCCTAAGGATGGATGCAATCGCTCTAAAGAAAATACTTTGAATGAATGGTACTTTCCCACATAAGCAATCCCTGTGGTTGCCACAGTGATGATGTGTGCTCAGACAAGAATGGAGGTTTATCAGTAGCCTCAGTCTGTGATGCCACATGGCTGGAGCTGACTTGCAATAGTTATTGTTTCTGTAGTTTGCCAAGGGCTGTTGCTGGAGAACATACCCCAGCAAAGTACTCCTTGCTTCATGGTCTAGTTGCACACAGCATATATTCAATCACTCATTGCTCTGGATCCTGTGTGTTCCCTAACCAACAGGAGAGGCAGCTACTATACTTTAGAAGGAACTAGGGTCTCCACTTCTTTGAAGTCCACCAATGAGACCAGTGGGTCTCATACAAGGAAGCAGAGGTAACACAAGCACTTATGATTAACACCAAACAAGAAATATATCAATACATATGGAGTGCACACCACAAAGCAGGGCACAGCAGTGCAAGGTTCATATGTTATTCTGGCAAAGTACAAAAGGGGCCAGCAATATACTCAAAGCCCCCTCACGCTAGTATATTAGAATGGGCTACAGTCTTCCAAATGCATCTGCACAGGCCTAACAAGCAACACATGGCTGTACTTACTGGGTTCCTACACATGGTAAATAACTGAAGGTAGCAGGATGGAAAGCAACATCTGGTTCCACGTTAAACTGACATGGCTACTTGAGAGAGAAGATGGGTGAGGAAGTAAGTCCAATAAGAAATTATCTCACCCACCATGTCTCCCTAATTTCCTGGGACCAAACACAGTTACACTACAAATGGCTACTAGAAGTGAATTTGACAAATAACACTATATTACCAAATCTGAAACCTGAGGTTTCACTGATTTTTGAAATCGAGACATCTTACCAGAGAATCAAATCTATTAGGTAAGAGGATTGTTATATGGATATTTAGCTGTGCCCAAGTTCTACCAGCCATTTAGCAGTAGGAGAGGAGCTTTTCTGGGAATCTGACAATGTAGTAAAATAGGCAATGTGCATTTTGAAATAGTTATGAGGCCCTGCTAATATACATGGCAGCTTAACTGTCTGTTTTCATACCAAATGGTAGCTAAGAGTAACTTTTGTACCTTCCATATCAATTTAGCAATTGAAAGAATATCCAAGCTAAAACATCTTTAAGCCTTATGAAATAGAAGCTACAGTGCTGGGACCATGCAAACACCTAGACAGATCATAATGAACATTAAGGTAACGGCTTTAGAAGCCATGATTGAGAACCACTGGGTTCTTTTTTTAGGAGAGTTTTAGGTCAGAATTCCCAGTGTCTGTTAGATAGAACTGCAAACCCCTCTCTAGCCTCGGTCAGAGCTCTGTGCTTGTACTTATTGCTTGGCTAGTTTTACCTTCTCCTGCTCTGCATGCAACACCCTTGCCTGAGTGTGTTCATTTGTTGTTTGCAATGAGTTGTTTCTCTGCTCCATCAGCAGGTTGCTCTGTTCAACATACCTAGGAAAGGGGGGGAAAAAATCATAGAAAGCGACTTGAGCACAAACACAAAAGGGGACTTGAAGTGAAAAGCCTATTATGGAGGAAAGAAAACAGTGTTTGTGACAAAGCCTCGTTAACAGAATAAGTTTTAGAACAACTCTGTGTGATGTCGTGCACACAAATGAAACTAAGGATATGTGACTATTTAAGATCTGTCAGTTTAAGGCCAGAAGGGACCATTAGGGCATCTAGTCTGACCTGCTGTACTGCACAGGCCACCAACACCACCCAGCACTTGTACGCTAAACCCAACAACCAAAACGAAATCAAAGTACTATAGACCACAGGAGACTAGATTATTCTGTGCCACAGGCGGGACTGAGGTATACCAGTATTTGAGGCTCCCCTGAATGCCAGGGAAATTAAATGATATACACCCAGATAATCTTGGCAAATGAGATGCACCCACATGCTGCAGAGGAAGGCAAAACCCTCCCAACGTCACTGCCAATCTGACCTGGGGGGAAATACCTTCCTGATGCAACATATGTAATGAGTTAGACTCTGAGCATGTGAGCAAAAACCAGCCAGCCAAGCACCTGAGAGAGAGAATGCTTAGTGCCATCTCAGAGCCCTGGCCCATCCTGCCCAATGTCCCATCTCTAGCCATAAACATCCCTGATGCTTCAGAGGTAGGGAAAAAAACCCTCCCAGAATACATTGGGAGGAAAAAATTATCTTCCTGGCTGGCTGAAACCCTGCAGCATAAGCTTTAGGAACATAAGAGATAAATTGGAAGTGAGCTCCATGGCTGCTGAGCTCTGCCCAGCACCATCACACAATTGCACTCAAATCTGTGCTGCTCTGTTAGAATTAATTACAGTATAGACCCGTTTACGTGCGAATCTGCTTAACACAGAGCAGCGCCATGCCTCCCAGTGCTACCTATTTAACTCGCGAGACTCGTTAACATGCGGTACAGGAACTTGCTATGTAGCGCTACAGATTTGCTCACTAACTCACTGACATAGAAATCGACAGGAAGTGCAGAGCGGAAACGTGTTGTAGGCCTACTGGCGTTTCCTCTTCCTTTGATCGCCGATATTGGTAAAGACTTATCACGCACGCTTAGTCATTGTCACGCTAGAGAGATATACAATATATAGTAATATACTGTATATACTACATTAGAAAATTTTAACTGTAGGCCTAACATAATGGCAGAGGGCAAGTGTCAATGCCCCTACACTGTAGAAGAAAAGCTAGCTGCAATAGATCGAGTAAATAGTGGAGAAACCCAGGCCAAAGTTTCAAAAGATATTGGGATTGCTGAATCTACTCTCCGAGAACGGCTAAAAACCGAATCTAAACTGAATGGCTGTGAACAAAATATTGATTCTGCCACAGGGCTTAAGCAAAAACGTGTGCACTATTCAGCAAAACCCACAATTGACAAAGCCATGCGCACGTGGTTTGCTCAGGAAAGGCTGAAAGGAATGCCGCTAAACTGGTACAGTACTCTTTCAAAGTTTTAGTGATTTGCTGCGTATTTAATGTTATTAGATTACACATTTGAATTTATATTCTTGCAAAGCGCCGTTAACAGATAGACCTGCAGTATTTGAGACGCTGTGAATATGTATGTAATCCTAGATAATTATACATGTACTGTATATATAGATATCTTAAGATATTTCAGCATGGCCCTTTTAACCCGTGGTCCATTAACAGGCAGTCGTGACGGTTTGACTCCCGGCATCCAAGCGTAAACGGGTCTGTACTGTAAGTTGTTTGCCCCCACAGCTCCTATTGGAAAGGCTGTTCCAGAACCTCTCCCTCCAATAGTTAGAAATCTTCTCATTTCCAGCTGAATTTGTTCATGGCCAGTTCACGTCCATATGTTTTTGTACCAATACTGTCCTTTAGTTTAAATAGCTCTCCAATCTCCCTGGTATTTACCTCCCTAATGTATTTAGGCAGGGCAATCATATGCCCATCTCAGCTGCCTTTTTGCTAGACTAAACAAGCCAATCTCTTCCAGTTTCCTCTCATAAGATAGGCCCTCCATTCCCTTAATCATCTTCATTGCACTAGTTCAAGATGAATTTAAAGACTGGAAGATGGGTGACCAGGATCATACACAGTATTCCAGATGAGAGAGACAGTATGCTGCAAGTTACAGAAACATTGGTGAATCTAGAGATAGAGGAAATTGGTTAGTAACTCTGCTCCATCCTCCTGCCAAGAGAGCAGTGTTGCTGCAGTACAATGAAGTGTTTAATATCCCAAGTGATGAGGCTTTCACCACTTCCTTTGGGAGACTATTCCATTCTAGAGACATTGTATGGCATATATCTGAGAATGGGGATACATTGGGAATACATCCCATGCACCAGCACCCTTCTCCATTTGACCCGAAGGAGCAGCAATAAGAATAACCAGAGAGAGCAGACCCCTCTCCCTTTGGCCATAAGGATTGTTGTTGTGATGTGGTCAGGAAAAGCAGCAGCAGGTCTTTACCTGCCTGCTGTGCTCCAAGTTTATGCCAAACCCCAGTTTCAGAGATATGCACACCTAAAGTACCTTCAAGAAAGGCATGTCCTTGTGCTAGAACCCAAAGAATCTAGGACCCCTGTCCCCTGAATTTAACTCTCTTTGTTCCATTCAGCAGTGAAATGAAGACCTTCTCTACAGGCAAAAGAGAAAGTGCAGTTAGTAGCCAGGTCTGTAGCCATGAGTAGGCTGCACCCGTCCATTCCTCACCGCTGATTCCGCTCAATCAATTCGCCGATCTTCTCATTCTGTTCTTCAATACGGCTGCTCTTCTCAAATATCTCCTGCTTCAACCTCTCGTTCTCCTAAGGTGTAACCACAGAGTATGAGCATAGTCATCTTATTTGGGGTGACCTAGGGGATGCCACCTACAGCTGACTTCATTATCAGAAGAAATTTAATAGTAATGCTGCTACCGCCTAGGCAGCTACAGAACACAGTATCAGTTTCCTTACTGAGGAACCAACAAGGTTACCCTAGCACTCAGCCACCCTCACCTGAATGATGCGCTGGATGTTGCTCATGATCATGGCAGTTTCCATGGTAACTGAAGAGATGCCAGGTAGCAGCAAGTTGTTGCTAGTGTTTTGTTTCTGTAACTCCTCCACCTGTAAGGAACAAACCATGGAAGCCAAACTTCAGCAGGATGTTAATGTGAGCATTTAGCACATCACAACTTGTCACAACTTCACCTGAGAGACACAAAGTAGGTGAAGTAGTATCTTTTATTGGACCAACTTCTGTTGGTGGATGATACAAGCTTTCTAGCTTCATCTGATCACTCATACAGCAGTTGTAGAATATGCATGTAAACTACAGCCATGCCACCTTGTGCAGGGCTGTGGGATTCCTCGGATGCAAGGCACTAAGTGTACGATCATAATAGACAGCTCCTTCATGAGGATCATCTTGTTGCAACTGGGCTTTTTTTATAGTAGACAAATTGCATGTGAAGTATAATTAGTGAAAACTCCACCTTTATATGGTTAAGTTACTGCATAATGTACAAGCTAAACACGGCAGCTTGAACCCTTCAACAGAACACCTACTTCTGAGGCACTATATGGCTGAGAAGGGCAAGTGGCTTTATCCCCTTGTGAACAAGCCCCCTCCACATCAGGTCTCTCTCCTTTACTGCCAGGTCTATATCATTACCTTGGCAGCTAGATGATCCATTTTATCAGCTACTTTGCTAACAGCCATTCGGATTTCAGTATTATGTTGTCGAGCTTCTGTCATCAAGAATGAAGTAACATCACTAGGTGCTAGAATGGGAAGAAGAGAGGTGACCAGTTAGCGTGGCAAAAAGACCACCACAGAAGCAGAAGTATTTGCATTGGTCTGCGTTCAAAGCCTGGCAGCTACAGGGACTGCCATCTTCCTAAAGGTCAGTGATTAAGAAGATCTAGAAAACAAGACATGTTATTGCTTTAACTATAAGAAACCAGGTCTATAATGGCAGGAAATCAATGGGACTTGTTTACAGCAATTCATAGATTCCAAGGCCAGAAGGATCATTGTGATCATTTAGTCTGACCTCCTGTGTAACAAAGACCAGAGAACTTCCCCAAAATAATCCCTAGAGTAGGGATTCTCAACCTTTTAATCCCCCCACCCCCATGCTATAAAAAGTCCACAGCCCACCTGTGTCACAACTGTTTTTCTGCATACAAAAGCCAGAGCCAACGTTAGGGGGTAGCAAGCAAGGCAATTGCCTGAGGCCGCACACCACAGGGACCCCCACAAAGCTAACTTTTTCAGGCTTCATCTTCAGCCCTGGGTGGTGGAGCTCAGACCCCAGGCTTCAGCCCCCTGTGGTGGGGCTTCGGCTTTCTGCCCTGGGCCTCAGCAAGTTTAATACAAGCCCTGCTTGGCAGCCCTCCTGAAAGCTGCTTGCAGCCCCCCAGTGGGCCCTGGAATCCTGGTTGAGAACCACTGGCCCTAGAGCATTTCTCAGAAAAACATCCAATTTTGATTTAAAGACTGCTAATGATAGAGAACCTACCACGACCCCTGAGAAATTGTTCCAATGGTTAATTATCCTCACTGTTAAAAATGTATGGCATATTTTTCCAGTTTGAATTTATCTCACTTCACCTGCCAGCCATTGGACTGTTACACCATTCTATCAGATTGAAGAGCTCATTGTTAAATATTTGTTCCCCATGTAGGAATTTATAGATTAAACAATTGGCAGCCACAATGACAACCACATGGAATAGGATAAACAATTAATAATTTATAATGAAATTTAACAAGTGACTATGTTAAAGAGTCACTAGCCACGTGCACACTCAGGAATAGATCTTAGGAATTTTTTTGCCCATATTAGTCCCTCCCCTGAGTGCACCTTGCGGGGCGGGGGGCGGAATTTGAATTAAGAATCATTTGTCCTTATCTGATATTAAAAAAAATAACATGGCACAACATAAAACTGAGCCAGCAGATGTAAGGGCTCTGAATGGGATGGGTGTATGTCTGCTTCCAGTCCTGTGTGGATATTTATTACAAAAAAATATTTACAATGCATCAGTGCAACTGAGAGATTTCATATGGTGCACATTTTCCTGACATACCTTGGAAAGGTGATGGATACATCTGTCCTACAGGCTGGAGCTGGGAAGCAGCTGCAGTTTGTGAATAGGCATATGCCATTTCTGCATACGGCTAAGGGAAGAAGACACTTCATTTTGTTTTGTTCTAACAGTTTCAGTTACACGCTACTCACTATAATTTCTGTTATGGATGAAGTTTGAGAAACAAGGTCTGAGTGGAGCACCTGTAGATTAAATAGTCTCAAAATGGATGCTAAAACAGCAAATGCCAATGAAGCCATTTTTAAGGAAGAACAAGAATAAAACCCATTCACTTCTGTCCTACTTAGAGATGACCACCACAAAACCCAAATAAATTTTCTCCTGACAAGCGTTCCTCACTCAACGTAAGTGAACTGAAGCATTTGGGGGTCACAAATGCTATTAACGCAAAGACTTTCCATTTAGTCCAAAACAGGAGTTTTGCAAGGGAGTGTGTGAGCTGGATACACCTAGTAAATGTTCTCTAAATTTAGGCCAATTAACATTCCACCCACAAAAAACATCAACAAAAAAACCCCTGCAAGAGTACAAATAATACAGGCACAAGTCCAGCAACAGAGTAGAGGCTATCTAGTTTATTGCACTGAATACGGCATGTATTATTACCTGCCTTGTGGGAAAGTGGCAGATAGCCCTCAGAGCAAGTGCAGGCTCTTGAGACTAGAGTGGCTGAACTGGAGGAGCTAAGGGAGACAGAGAGGCACATAGAGGAGACTCTCAGGACACAGTAGAGAAGTTCCACTCCCCATATGACAGCCTCTGTGCTGTTGAGGAGGATGAAAGTCTTGAATTTATCTCACTTCACCTGCCAGCCATTGGACTGTCACACCATTCTATCAGATTGAAGAGCTCATTGTTAAATATTTGTTCCCCATCAAAAGGGGACATACACAAGCCCTCGTCCCATCACAGCTTGTACTCTGGGGTAAAGGGATCAAAATGCCTGAAAAGAAGAAAATTGTTACCACTATGCTCCCTGGAATTCAGAGAGGGCAATATTTCTAGCATAAGCAAGGGATCCCCATCTGCTTGGCTTGGATTAGCCCTAAAGGACATATGCAAGCTCTCTAGTATAGCAGCTTCTGTTACCTTTTGGAATCTAACACTATATCTCATTTGTGTGCATATGCTTACCTGCTTTAACCTTGTAAATAATTCTTTTTTTTTTTCTTAATTAATAAATCTTTAGTCAGCATTCTAGGATTGGTTACAAGCATTGTCTTTGGTTTCAAATCTGAGGTACAATTGCCCTGAGGTAAGTGACTGGTCCTTTAGCACTGCGAATAACCTGAATATTGTTTTGATTTTTGGTGTAAGGTGCCATCTATTACAAAGGCAAGATAAACCAGAATACCCAACGAGACTGTCTGTGACTCCACATTAAGGCTGTTATAGTGCTTGAGAAGTTCACACTTGACACCTGGTTGGTGAAATCTAATAGAAGAACACGCTACTGATTGTTACAAACCTGGGCACAAACCCCAATCTGCCCTGAGGTTGGCACTCACAGTCATGAGTTACTTCAGAGAGCCTGACTGGGGGGCTGGAGTATTAAAAATATAGATGGTTGGGTTTTGATGACTGAGAAAACCACATGGTAAGTTGCCTGATCAGTGTGAATGTCAAGGACCTCTCGAGACATCTAGACAGACCTATGTGCAGTGTTGGGGATGAGCCAGTGGTCATGGTACAAGTCGGTACCAATGACATAGGGAAAGGTAGGAGAGATATCCTGGAAGCCAAATTTAGGCTGCTAGGTAAGAGACTGAAGATCAGGACATCCATGGTAGCGTATCTGAAATGCTTCCAGCTCCACACACAGGGCCAGTTAGACAGGAAGAACTGCAGGGTCTCAATGAGTGGATGAGACGGAGTTCAGAGGAGGAATTTAGGTTTATTGGGACTTGGGGAAATTTTTGGGAAAGGAGGAGCCAATGCAGGAAGGATGGGTTCCACCTAAACCAAAACAGAACCAGAATAACGGCATGTAAAATTAAAAAATGTCTAGAGGCATTTTTAAACTAAGGGGTGGGGGAAACAGATAGGTGGAACACAGGATCTGGTCCAAGAGGTGAGTATAGCTAAACCACTACGTTACAGAGACCATAATGTAATAAAAGTTAACATCCTTGTAAGGGGAAAAATACCAAAGAAATCCACCACAGTTTAACTTAAAAAAAAAAAGGGGAACTGCACAAAAATGAGGCTAGTCAAATGGAAATTAAAAAGAACAGTCATAAGAGTGAAATGCCTGCAAGCTGCATGGAAACTTTTAAAAAACACTACAGTAGAGGTTCCAACTATAAGTATAACCCAAATAAAAAAAAAAAAAAAAAAGGACCAAAAAAAGCTGCCATGGCTAAACAGAGTAAAAGACGTAGTTAGAGACAAAAAGACAACTTTTAAAAATTGGAAATCAAAACCTAATGAGGAAAATAGAAAGGAAAAAACTCTAGCAAATCAAGTGTGGAAGTATAATTAGGCAAGCCAAAAACAAATCTGAAGAGCAACGAGAAAAATAAAATAAAAATAAAAATAAACCCACAAAAAAAATTGCTGTTAGTTTTTGTAAGTACATCAGCAGCAGGAAGCCTAACAAACAATTAGTGGGGCCACTGGATGATCAAAGTGCTAAAGAAGCACTCAAGGAAGACAAGGCCATTGCAGAGAAGTTAAATGAATTCTTTGCATTGGTCTTCACTGCAGAGGATGTGAGGGAGATTTCCACACTTGAGCCATTCTTTTTAGATGTCAAGTCTGAGGAACTGTTCCAAATTGAGGTGTCAATAGAGGTGGTTTGGGAACAAACTGGTAAATGAAAGAGTAATAAGTCACCAGATCTCTTGGATGAATACCATCTGGTCCTGAAGGAGCTCAAATATGTAACTGCAAAACTACTAAATGTGGTATCAGGTTTCAGAGTGGTAGCGGTATGTAACTTATCACTTAAATCAGTTTCTGCACCAGATGACAGGCAGAGAGCTAATGGAATACCAATTTTTTTTAAAAGGCTCCAGAGGTGACCCGGGCCATTACAGGTCAGCAAGTCTAACTTCAATACCCAGTAAATTGGTTGAAACTATAGTAAAGAATGGAATTCTCGAACACACAGATGAACACGATATACTGGGGAAGAGTCAACATGACTTCTGTAAAGGGAAATCATGCCTTACCAATCTATTACAATTCTTGGAGGGTGTCAACAAGGGTGAATCAGTGGATATAGTGTACCTGGACTTTCAGAAAGCCTTTGATAAGATCCCTTGCCCAAGACTCATAAGCAAAGTAAGCAGTCATGGGATAAGAGGGAAGGTCCTCTCATTGATCAATAACTGGTTGAAAGATAGAAAACAACAGATAGGAATAAATGATCAGTTTTCAGTGGAGAGGGGTAAAATAGCATGGTCTGCCAAAGATCTGTACTGGGACCGGTGCGGTTTAACATAATAATAAATGATCTGAAAAAAGGGGTAAACAGTGAGGTAGCAAAGTTTGCAGACAATAGTAAATTACTCAAAATACTTAAGTCCAAAGCTGACTGCAAAGAGTTACAAAGGGTGACAAAATGGCAGATGAAATTCAATACAAAGTAATGCACATTGGAAAATATTATCCCAACTATACACACAAAATGATGGAGTCTAAATTAGCTGTTACCACTCAGGAAAGAGATCTTGGACAGTTCTCTGAAAAGTTCTGCTCAATGTGCAGTAGCAGTCAAAAAAGCTAACAATGTTAGGAACCATTAGGAAAGGCATAGATAGTAAGACAGAAAATACCATAATACCCCACTATACAAATCCATGGTATGCCCACACCTTGAATACTGATTGCACTTCTGGTCACCTGATCTCAAAAAAGATATTACAATTGGTAAAAGCACAGAGAAGGGTAACAAATTATTAGAGGTATGGAACAGCTCCCGTATGAGGAGAGATTAAAAAGACTGGGACTTTTCATCTTAGAAAAGAGAGGGTGGGTCGGTAAATATGACAGAGGTATATAAAATCCTTATTAATTTTCACCACACCATTTGTGAAGTGTTGTTTACCCCTTCATATAACACAAGAACCAGGGGTCACCCAATGAAATTAATGGGCAGGAAGTACTTCTTCACACAATGGACTATCAACATGTGGAACTCATTGCCAGGGGTTGCTGTAAAGGCCAAAAGTATAACTGGGTTCAAAAAGAGTTCGATAAGTTCATGGAGAATAGGTCCATTGATGGCCTAGGGAGGTTGTGAAAATCTCCATCACTAGATATTTTTAAGAGCAGGTTAGACAAATACCTGTTAGGGATGGTCTAGATAATACTTAGTCTTGCCATGAGTGCAGGGGACTAGGCTAGATGAGCTCTCGAGGTCCCTTCCACTCCTACGATTCTATGGCTATTAGCCAACATGGTCAGGGATACAACCCCATGCTGTGTCCCCCCCTCAACCTCTGAATGCCAGAAGCTGGGACTGGATGGCAGGGGACGGATCACTCGCTGATTGACTGTTCTGTTCACCTGGTATTGGCCACTATCAGCAGACAGGATAGTGGGCTGGATGGACCTTTGGTATGACTCAGTATAGCTGTTCTTATGTTCTTTAATTATCCTTGTGGCTCTCTCCCTGAACCCTCTGATTTTTCAACATCCTTCAGTTTGGTGAGACGGCTCCTTCTTTATGTGGCTCCTCTATTCCAGTTGTGGATCCCCTCTTCCCAACAATGGAGAAGAGCATACATCTAAGGGAGCGCTGCCATCAGAAGCATCAGAGGTCTCCACTAGTTTGATTTCAATACCTGAAAGCTCTGTGCACTTCCAGGGAGAGCTGAATGGGGCTGGAGGGTTGCAGGCATTAAGGCAGCAGAGGGCACTTGGAGCCCAGAAACAGATGGTTGAGGTACTGAAAAGGAACAAGAGAAGATATTTAGCACAGTAAGTCTATCCTTTGTTGTTGACAGTCAGTTTCAGTTGTCTAAGTTACTTGACATAAGTGTATGGGACCCCTACATGATTCATGTAACTACAGTCACTGAACAGACCAAGGCTAACGGGGGGGGGAGAGGGATAGCTCAGTGGTTTGAGCATTGGCCTGCTAAACCCAGGGTTGTGAGTTCAATCCTTGAGGGGGCCATTTAGGGAATCTGGGGCAAAAAATTGGGGATTGGTCCTGCTTTGAGAAGGGGGTTGGACTAGATGACCTTCTGAGGTCCCTTCCAACCCTGATATTCTATGAATCTATGAGACTGCCCACAATCCTGCCTAAGCGAATCTGTATGATGGAGATTAAGGGGCCATCTTCACTTCAAAGTAAGCAAGAGTTTGCCCCTAACCTGAGTTCCCTCCACACACAGAAATGCTGAACTCAAGTGCGGTAGTGCTTTTAACTCAAGTTGTCTGGCCTGCCAGGAGGTAAAGGTGAACACAACTCAGCTGCTAACATGACAACTCTGCAATGTGGAAGCCAGCTAGCTCCACTTGAGTGCTACGAGTCCTCCAATGCCTTCCCATAATTCCCCTTCTCTCCCTCATGTACACAGAAAGGACAGACATTCTCCCACAATCTACTGGGAAAATTCCTACAGCAGCTCAGCGAGCGATGGGATGTGCCCCCCGAAGTCTTAGTGACACAAACGAGTGCAGTGCCACTGTGGACATAAGCAGCTCAAATGTTACTGTGCTTTGCGGTCCTCTTCCACTCAAGCTAGACTAACTCATGAGAAGTAACTTCAGTGAAGATAACTAGAACCTACACTCAATAACTCAGCCTTCGGGTACAAGAAATAGTCCACCTGGAGAGCTGAGTGATGGGAGGGTCACTCACAAGTCACATCCTCTTTTCAGTTCCTTAAAGGAACACACAATTCATGCAGCAGAAAATGGTTAAACATGCCAGTCCATGACTGCAGTTTCTACTTATCAAACCTAAGCAGACCAATTCATTACCTTGCGTTGTCAACTGAGGCAGTACTGCATGAGCTGGCTGCAAGAAAGGTCTCTTGGGGGATGAAGAGACAGGCTGTGCTGTTCCTCTCAATGTATTTGGGTCCTAAAACATTCCCAAATTTCAGTCAGTATTAGTGAGCTAACAACTTAGTCAAAAGTTTGGATGCAAAGCCATTCCTAAGACAAGATATGATTAACAGCAATGCACCCATGTATAGACAGGGAATTTAAGCTTGACAAGAATGCTAGCCTCATGTGGAACTGAATGTCAACAGTTCCAATCATACAAGGTGTCCCCATGAGCTTCAAAAAGGCACAAGTGAGACACTGACAGCAGTCACCCTGCAGGCAGGCAGAGCAGCAACTGTGCACTCAGCAGTAGTTCTTGTACTGCCTGGAATGTATATCAAATCCTACATTTTAAGGAACATTAGTTCTTGGTGACGCACCTCTATTTCTGAGTCACTGGAGTCAAGCTGGGTGCCTGCTGTTCCTGCAAGGAAAGGTAGCATAGGCTGTCCCATTTTAGCCATCCGAGAAATCAGCTTTGCTTTTGCTACATCAGGATTCTGGAAGAAACATTTGCAATTACATTGCCTCCGTATCTTTTAACCCGTTTTTCAGTGCCCTCTTGACACTAACCCAGATTACTATGGTTCTATAGAGCACAGAATTATATACTGACTCAGTTGCAGAAGCTTTGTTCAGTCTTTTTCCAGCTATCAAATTAAGAAAGTCTCTGTATTTAGAGAATTCCTGAGATCTTTTGGTCCTTTAGATAATACTTTAACTAAAGAGAGAATAGGAATTAATATACTGTTTTTACAACTGATTTTACAGTCATGAGAACTGTATGGCTATCTATTGTACAAACACATTAACAAGATAGAAAGAGATAAGCTGGATGAGGTAATATCTTTTATTGGACCAACTTCTGTTGGTGGATGGGACGAACTTCAGAGCTCTTCCTCAGGTCTGAACAAGGAAACCAAGGTTTCCGAACTAAATACAAGGTCGGACAGATTGTTAAGCATAAGGCATTCACACATGTTGCAGCATAGCTTTTGAAGGTGTGCAGATTTTCTTTGAGAACATGACAGAGGTCAGATACAGTGTGTTCATATTGTGAAAATTCACACAGGAATTGAAGGGAATCAAATCTTTCCTGAAACAACTCTACCACCTCATCCTCCAGGGACCCCACTCCAGGGACCTCCTACATGCTTCCCAAGATACACAAACAAGGGAACCCAGGCAAGGCCATCATATCTAGCCAAAGGAATATCAGGACTCACAGAAGCCACCTTCAAACACTCACCACACAAGGGGCAGTTTCCTTCAGAACACAACTGATTGCCTCCAGAAACTCCACGACATTAACAACCTCCCTTAGAACACCATCCTTGCCACCACGGATGTCAATCTCCCTATACACCAAAACCATCATCATGATGGAATTGCTGCCTGCCTCAAAGATAGTAACTCCTTGCTTAACGCTGTAGTTATTTTCCTGAAAAATGCTACTTTAAATGAAACGATGTTAAGCGAATTCAATTTCCCCATAGGAATTAATGTAAATGGGAGGAGGAGGGGGGTTAGGCTCCAGGGAAATGTTTTTCACCAGACAGAAGACTATATATACACACACACCTATACTGTGTGTATGTATGTGTGTGTGTGTAAGTTTTAAACAAACAATTTAATACTGTACACAGCAATGATGACTGTGAAGCTTGGTTGAGGTGGTGGAGTCAGAAGGTGGGATATTTCCCAGGGAATGCCTTACTGCTAAATGATGAACTAGCACTCGTCTGAGCCCTCAAAAGTTAACATGTTGTTGTTAATTTAATGTAGCCTCATGAAGACAGCAGGAATGGAGGGAGGAGACACAGAATGGCAGTGGCTGCAAACATTCCCTGTGGAAACGGAACGTGATGATGAACCCATGTTATCCCACTGAAGAGCACCACTCCCTCAACTTTCCAAAGTGCGGGGGGTGGGGGTGCACATGTGTGAGAGAGAGAGAAACACACACACACACTCCATGTGTGTAAGAGAGAGAAAGACCTGCATTGCCCCTTTAAGTACGCTGACCTCACTCTAAGTACACTGCCTTTTTAAGTACAGTAACTCCTCACTTAAAGTCGTCCCGGTTAATGTTGTTTCATTGCTGATCAATTAGGGAACATGCTTGTTTAAAGTTGTGCAATACTCCCTTATAATGTTGTTTGGCAGCCGCCTGCTTTGTCCACTTCTTGCAGGAAGAGCAGCCTGTTGCAGCTAGCTGGTGGGGGCTTGAAACCAGGGTGGACCGGCAGCCCCATGTGGCAGCTGCCCAGCAGGCTATCAATTGCCATCAATTGCCAGCAGTTCAGCGGTCCTTTCCCCCGACTGCCATGTGCTGCTCCCGCCCTCTGCCTTGCAGCTGCTCCCTGGAGCCTCCTGCTTGCTGTGCGGGGGGTGGGGAGAGGGGAAGAGGGGGGCTAATGTCAAGGTGTCCCCCTCCCCCCTGCTCTTGCACCCTGCTTACCCCATCTTCCATATGGGGGAGGCAGGGGGACATGACAGGGCTCAGGATGGAGGGAGCTTCCTGGCAGCAGCTGCCGTCTCAGCTTGTTGATTAACTTAAAAAGGCAGTGTACTCAGAGTGGGGTCAGCATACTTAAAGGAGCAATGTGCATCTCTCCCTCTCTCTCTCTCTCACACACACAGACAGGGTGTGTCTCTGTCTGCCATGCTGTCTCCCCTTCCTCCATTCGTGCTGCCTTGTAGAGTGTAAGGCTACATTAACAATGAGTTAACCCTTGAGGGCTCAGCCAATTGCTAGTTCATCATTTAGCAGTAAGGCACTCCCTGGGAAATATCCCACCCTCTGACGTCACCACCTCAACCAAGCTTCACAATCATCATCGCTGTGTACCAGTCAGGGCCGGCTCCAGGGTTTTGGCCACCCCAAGCAGCCAAA